TACGCTAAATGCAGGTAATAAAAGCCCATAAATCAATGATTTTTCATCATAGCGACAGTTTGAATTCTAACGAATCCTGTTTGCTTGTCTTACTTTTTACTTCCCTTTCTCTTCTGCTGACAAGTTATTGCAATTTGTAGGCAAACAAAGAAATTGCTTGGATTGAGAGCGTTGCGCTGAGTTGGTTTTTTATTTGTAACTCATACAAATATTGCTGTCCCAAAATTCCCTTTGGGGGGTAAAAAGGTGATGAAATAAGGAACATTTTGGGGTATTTTTGCAAAAAATCTAAGGGGGCATAAAAGGTTAAAAATTAAAAAAAAAATTTCTATGAAATATTAATTTTAAATTTTTTTATGATACACAGTTTTAAAGTCTAAGAAAGTTTGTACAAAAAAGTCTAATGGCGTTTTAAAATCCGTTCATTCGTTTAAAAGTTATGGCGGTTCAAAAATTTGTTTGCAAAAAACTTTGACCCCTGACAGTATGGCAACCCCGAATTACACAGACCTAACACCATATTTTTTATTTTAGTTTTTGCATGTACTATAAGATATATCATTGCCAAAAAAAATATAGACCTTTTTTTTCGAGTGGCTTTTTTTGCAGAGAATGCCTCATATGTATGTACATATTTAGGACAATAAATGTCCGTTGTGGAGGTTATATGGAGTTGCCGATCGCTTTCGATGCTCACTCGCGTACCCAGGGCCTTGAATGAATGGTTTGTCAAGCGGTCGTTATATATTTATACTTAAAGCCGGCAAGGGCATAAAATGCATGAGAAAAATAGTTTGGCATTTGTATATGTATGTAAAGCTGCGGAGGATTGTTGTTGTTGAAGAGGCACTAACACCTTAGTTTTTTTGTTGTTGGTAGATCACTTGTCATAAATATTTGTGTATTTTTTTACTCTTTAAGTGTTGAGTTAATTTATAATTATCGAAAGTTCTTTTTTATGGAGTGGGACAAATGTAAATATGCACATCCGGGAGCTATGACTCAGTTCTATCTGAAGTAAAGAATTTCGGATTTTCACTCTTGACAACGCCCATGTTTGCTCATTTTGCAAATTCACTGCAATTTGTAACCCTAATCTCGATGGTAAGCCAACAGGACACACATTCGAATATATATATATTTTTACTCATCTTTACATCACCTTTACATATAGTTAGGCACATATACATATTTATTTCTAACTGAATGCACATAAAAATGTATGATTTACGCACACATACAGGTTTATTTTTAGATTTTGGTTTAATTTTTTCTTATAATTTTTTATAGATAAATGTGCGTTACACAAATACATATGTATATTTGCATATTCACAAATACACTTGAATGATGTATGTATATGTACGTATTTCTAACATTATCGAAACGGAACTTCATTGCTTTATCGAGCCACAATTTGTTTCATTATTGCCCCAAACAATGTTAAGACATAACGAACTGCACTAAATGAATAAGCGATGACGTTAATTTTTAAAATTCTTTAGACGTTTGGAATAATGTTATTTATAGAATTAAAAAAAAACGCCTTACCAAAACGCGAACATTGGCAGCAGTGCTTTCGATCGTTTTAATAAATTTCGTAATAATATTCGGTTATTCCACTATGCTTATTAACGTCATTATTTTTTAATTTCAACTATTTCACCCGTTCAATTGTACGAATCTAAAATTTGCACTTATGTATGCTTGCACATATGTATATACATACCTACACATATACGTTATTAACTATACCCTGCAGGGAAACCGCGGACTAGTGAATCAAATTTCTAGTTCCGTACTAGGTCTTTATCGCCAAAAAGGAACTAGTCCGATAGGAACTAGATCCCCACCAGTCCAAAATCGGCGAAAAGTGGTACTTTTAAGAAACTAATTTTTTCAGTTTTTTTCACTAGAAATCTATATCTAAAGTGACGAATTTAGAAATGGTTCAAAACTATAGAAAAAGGGATGCAGAACGAACTAGATCCTATTTGTCGAATTTAGAACTATTTCGGAACTATCGAATAAGGAATGCAGGGGGGGGGCTTGTTTACTTTACATAGATATGTGTTCGGCGGCTTTTTCGTTCAAGTACGCTTCTATTCTGTGCTTCGTAGATGCTATTTCATAGTTTGGTAATACAAAAGAAAGCTTTGTGTTAACATATTAACATCTTGGGGCCGTCTAGAATCTAACCAATAACAGCGAGCACCTCTTCAAAGTCAGCTACAGCCAAAGGTATGTAAACGTACATTTCTTACAATCATTCAAACAAATTTCATTTCAAATTTAAAAAATGTTTCTTTGAAAATAATGTAAAATCGCACACGGAAGAACCGAAAAGATTGAAAAATCATAATACCTTTTTCTTTCGTCTGTCGATTTTATAACTGGTTCGGAACTATAGAATTTAGGACTAGTTCGGAACTATCGAAAAAGGGTTGCAGCGGGGGGCAATTGACACTTCCTAGGACATCGCCATGTTAAATTCGCCAGTTGCTTGCATGCAAAAGAGATTTATCGCGAACCAGTACTGGGTCTAAATGTACTAGAAGCGCCCCAGTTCAGAACTAGAGATATTTCCCACAGGGTATGTATATATGTATGTAGCTATATGGAAGTACTCCAATGCCACCGTGCACTCACATTCATGCATTCAAACTCACACACACACACGTTAAATGTAAGGCAAGGTTTTAATTGATATATTTCACTTCTTTTGGTTTTAGCCACTGATTACTGCTTATAGCTTTTAAGTGATTTTCTTACTTATTTCGGTGGACTATTTTTAAATTCGAATCTAAATAAATCTACTCATGTATGCTTTGCTCAGCCTGACTAAAAATAAATTTTTCTTTTTTCATAAAAGTTTCCTTTCATTATGTACTTCTAGCTGAAATATGACGAGTTGCTTGCTTTCCCTGAGTATCGCTCATCGGTAAACGATGCGAAAAATTTTTAGAGTAGGTGTGTGCATAAATATGCTTCTTATGGGTATGTATGAATGTATATACATATGAATATTTTTGAGTTAAATGTGGTTATCTGCACAAGAGGACCATTTTTTTTCAGCTTGCATTTCAACCAGGTATATACATGCTGCTAAATTTTGCACTTTTTCTATATGACGCTATATTGCATTTTTCAATCATGATTTAATTTTCCGTTTAAATTTAAGTTCCGTTACATACACACACACGTGCATTAATGTTAGTACAAATGTACGTATATATTCACTTATGTAAAAGTACGTACATACATATGTATTAGAGGTCTGCGTGAATTTATTCAAAACGGCTTATGTATTATTCATATACAAAACGAATGATTAGTTTTGTCTTCAAATTTTTTTGAATTTGAGTGAATACCTGTTATGATATATGTATCGACATTACAATATTCAAACAAAGTGAAAATAAATGGAAGTGAAATAAATGACAATTTTTTGTATGAATATCCAAAAAAAATTTTTTTCTATGTACATATGTTCAAACATACATATGTATGTATGTATGTATTGCTGCGCTCCTATTACAATACGAAACTGTTTGTTTGTAGAAAAAAACTTTTACCGAAATGAGTTTGAATGATTTGAATGTTTTTCACTCATTCATTTACATTATTCCAATTGAAGGTAGAAAATGTAAAACAAAATGTTTTTTCATAACTTACAAAATTCTAAACGCTGAGTGTTTTGTATTTGAAGTAAAATATTCAAATCTACTGTACTCTGGTTGGCTAGAAGTTTGAATGGATTCATGCAGCCCTCTAATATGAATAACACCCACTGAAAACTTATTTTAGCACGTACTCAAATTTCAATAGAATATTCGAAAATCCATTGGGAATTTTCCGAAAACTTTCCATCTGCAAACTTTCGTAGCAAAAAACAGAACACCGCAATAAATTTACAGTTATGTACGTTGGATTATAGTGTCGGTTAAAAACAGTTGCAAAAAACTGTAGATCGTTGGAATTTCGAAGTAAATACATACATACTACATACATCAGTGCGTATTTTTGTATATAAGTATGCACGGTTAAGTATTGAGTACATATAATAAAAATAAATATTGAATAACATTTTTCGGAATTAAAAAACTGATTTAAACCGAAAATTTTCGAGAGTTCTTAAAGCAGCTCCATAAGATAGCACTTTGACATTACAGCATAAACACTAATAATTTTTAGAAGCTGAAAAATCTCCACACGTTTACATTTACCACTAAAAAAACAGTAACGAGTTTATAACTGAATAAGCGCGACATTTTTCGCGCTTTTAGACATTATAATTCGCTGTTATTATTATTAGATACAATTGTTTGTATTACATATGTTGTTGAACATATTTTTTTTATTGGCTTACTCAAAAATTTGCATTCTCCTGCAAAACAACTAATAATTTTCGAAAAACTTATTATTGAGCGATTGCACGATCTACGACATACTCTACGTGAGTATCTATCGAACTGAATTTAAAATAGAATGGAAATTAAGATAGAACACTAATGAATGAATGAAATTTGAGGTTGAAAAGAAAATTCCTATTAAAAAGTGAAAAACACAATAACAAGTGTTAGAGCACCATTAAAAATATGGTTTCGACTGCATTTTTTTGGTGCAAGAAGTATTTTGGAAATAAGAAAACACTGAGAAAAAATAAATGAAGGAAATAAAAATATGTAGTATGCATATACATATATTAGACGTCTGCATGAATCCATTCAAAACGACAAACTAATCATTCATATTCTAATTGAATGAGTTATTGATATGAGTATCGACATAGCAACGTTCAAATGTTGTAAAACAAATTAAATTAATATGAATGATAATCTTTTTTTTTTTATGAATTTGAATATGTTTCTGTGTTTCTCTCATACATACCTACATGCATAAATTTTTGTTACTTGTAATCAACATATGAAAAGTAGAACCATTAGGTAAAAATGGTATTGGTCTCAATTATTTTAATGCATAAGTGTAATTCTTTTTACGCTGCCTGGGTATATAGCCCAGCACAATACAACGTTAATTTTTGGTTGAGAAATACAGGTTAGATTAGCGTGGCTGATCCGTATGTTCTCACATAGACAATTAGTTTAGAGTTACCAAGAAAACCGAAAGGCCTATAGTCATGATCAGGGAACGGATTTCTAGGACCTAAAAACCTATAAAAAAGGCAAAATAAAATAGCGAAATAGGCAGAAAAAGGCTACAGAAATCGCAAAATGGCACTAAAAAGACAAAAACCGAAAAATAGTGAAAAATTACATTTATTTTAGAAATGTTTATTTTACAAGTAAAAAGAGAGAGAGTCGGCCGCTGTGGTGTAGTGGTAAGCAGTGCGCGCTTCCACTCCGCAACGCCTGGGTTCAAACCCTGGTCAAAGCAACATCGCAAAAAATATAGAAAAAAAGGTTTTTTCTTAACAGCGGTCGTCCCTCGGCAGGCAATGGCAAACCTCCGAGTGTATTTCTGCCATGAAAAACAGCTTCTCATAAAAATACAATCGCCGTTCGGAGTCGGCGTAAAACTGTAGGTCCCTCCGCTTTGTGTGACATCATCAATGCGCACGCCACAAATCGGAGGAGAAGCTCGGCCAAACACTAACTTATGTGAAAGCGCCAATCTATTAGTATTATTAAAAAGAGAAAAACTATGAACTTATTTCATTATATGAAAATTTTCCACTTTGAATCTTTGACTATTTTCTCCTTTCGAGTTTTTAACTCACAAAATTTTAATCTCTATGGTTTTAGTAACATTGAACCACAAAATGAATTTTGAAATTTGGAAATTTTGGAATTCACTAAACGTGTGCTCGACGTGAGTTGATACAAGTGGCAACCAATTTAAAAATGGAACGTTTAAACCTTTCATATTATCAAGAATAAGGTTTTTTCCTTGCTCTTTACAATTAAAGGCCAGTATGCAGCTCTCAAGGAAACGGTAAAGAAAAAAATTTACATTATATTATATTTCCAAATTGTCCAAGGAATTTTGACATCTGATACTTCACAGCATGTTGCCTCACTCTTTCCTCAAGAAATAATAGAACGGGCATATACTTCTGTTGCAAACATGGGTTGCCTTGTGCTCTTTTTCACAAAAAACTTTAGAAAACCGTAGTAGAAAGCGTAGCATATTTCTTACATGAAAATTTTTTAGCCAATTCTTGTACGTCATTTTAGATGTAGTTTTTGGTTTTCTTGAGAGCTGCATAGTGGCCTTTAAGGTAGAAAAGGCAAAAAAAATTACAAAAAATGGCAACATCAAATGTGTATATATGGAATTAGGAGAATCTTTAGATTTATCAACGATTTACCGCGGGCATTCTTAATCGAATATACTCTATCTCTGTAGCAGAAAAAAAAACAATTTCCATAAAATGCATTCCCTTTTTTCGGACAAAAAAACAGTATATCCTTACTTACTGATATTATAAATCCGAAAGTGAGTTTGTTTGTTTGCTACGCTTTCACGCTTTAACTAGTCAACCGATCATCATGAAATTTTTTGTACTATTTAGCCCAACTTAAAATATAGGACAGATGTAATCTCGATTATACAAGGGGCGTGAACCTCCAATACAAACAGAATTTTTTATACTGCATTACTCAGGAAATATTTTTGATAGATTACTGGAACTTGGTATGGAGATATATAAAATCATTATTTACTCATGGATGAGGGCTGCCACCCTTTAAAAAAAATCAAATTCAACTTCAATTAAGGGAGTTATTTATTTCAAAATTATATTAAAAAATGGACGTCAAGAGGCTTAAAAAAGCTGTAGTTCGAATATATTTTGAAAAGGGTTGCCACCTGTTTGAAAAGTCAAATTTAAATTAACTATACGCAAGCTATCTGAAGAATTAAAATATGGTTGCCTAACGAAATATTGTTAAGAAACCTTTAGTTTGATAGTTTTGGATAATATTTAAGTCTTTCACAAGGGTTTCCAAATTTTTAAAAATTAAATTCAATTATCTTAAATTAAGTATTACAGTAAATGCGCGCAATGGTCCTGGCGGTTGCTTTATCGGTGGTTATTTGTGATTTACTCCTGCACAACTCAAACCTGGTGTCTCCGAGTGAAGCTTTAACGCATAATAATACTGGCAAATCACATCCGTTGGGCTAATCGTAACACACAAGAGTGCGATATGCTCAATGGTGCAACAAGTCGATTAAATCTGATATTCACGGCACTTTTTCTATCTAGGCGATTATTCTAATGACTCCAGCGCCACCTGGCAGCCCTTTTTGGCAGTAGTATTGCCTTTACCGTTACCAATACATATCTTCTATTATATATAATACGCGAAGGCATTTTTTGTGCAGCCTAAAATATCTGCACCGTTCGCTCGATTTTCAAAATTGGGGTGTCAAATTAAAGCGCTTGGCCTGTAGATGTGCAATAAGGTTTTATTTCTTCGAAAAAGGTTGCCACCTGTTAAGAAATTAAGTTCAAAATAATACGCGAAAGCATTTTTTGTTCCGCATAAAAGATCTGCACCGTTCGCTCGATCTTCAAAAATGGGGTGCAAAATTAAAGCGCTGGGCCTGTAGATGTGCAATAAAGCTTTATTTTTTCGAAAGGAGTTGACACCTGATAAAAAACTGCATTCAAATAATTTACTAATCAATGTCAGCAGATTCACACTGTTCGTTCGATTTTCAAAAGTGAGGTGCCAAATCAAAGGGCTCTGGCTGTAGGTGTGCAATAAGGTTTAACTTTTTCGAAAAAGAGTTGCCACCATTTAAAAAATTAAGTTCAAATTATTTTAAAAGCTAAACCAATTATTATAAAATGGGCATAAATGGATATAGTTTTGAAAATGTTTGTTTCTTAATTTAAATTTAGGAGGGTTGCCACCTGTTAAAAAAATCAAATTCAATTTGAATTGGGGGAATTAGGTAATAGAAATATGTATTTGTGCCAGACGGTAAAGGTTAAGTATGTAGTAGTTTGTAAACATTTTGAAGAGGGTTGCCACCTGTGTGAAAAGTCTAATGAAACTTAAGAGATCTTTAGTTGGAACGTTTAGAATATTTTTAAAGTGTTTGAAGAGGGCTGCCACCTGTTTAAAAATCAAGTTCAAATTATTTAAATAGTTAAATCAATATTTGCTAATCGCAGTATCGCAGTAGTTTTGAAAATACTTTATTTCTTAACTGCGTGTAGGAGGGTTGCCACCTGTTTAAACAATCAAATTGAATTTGAATTAAGGCAATGGGGTAATTAAAATAGGTATAACAATATGGCTGTCAGACGAAAGAGATTTATGAAGATTTTAGATTGAACATATTTTTAATAGGGTTGCCACCTGTTCGAAAAGTCTATTATTTAATTCAATTATCGATATAAAACAAAAAAGTGTTAC